AGGATTGCTGAGAGTTTGAGGCCAATACGGGATACATAGTGAGTTCAAGGTCAGCCTAAACTAGACCTGCCTCAAACAAAACAAAACAAAACAAAACAAAATAAAACAAAGCCAACAACAAAACCCTAAACATTTAGGGAGAGCTGTAATTATATGAGAAAGCACTTATAATATTGCATTTAAAAGGCATCAAAACTACATGTATGGCACGATCACAGTGCTCATTCCAGGGCCAAGCAGAAACATGAAGCACTGTCGAAACAGTAATAGTATATGGTTTATTGCAGTACAATTATAGTGTGTGTGCCCATTGTCATACACTGTATCCTGTTCTGAAGTTTTATACTGCTCTTTGACCTGCAAATGACTTTATAAAGAAAAGTTCAGTAAGCTATGTAGCATACACTCCCATAATCTGGGACACCATATGTTATGGTTTTGATCCAAAATATCCCCCAAAAGCCTTGTGTTCAGAGTTGAATCATGAGTGGATTAATTAATCCACATCGGAATGTTTGGAGGTAGAACCTAAAGAGGTGGTTATTAGGGATGTGGCTTAGAAATGTGCCTGTCTTCTTCTTTTACTCTTTGCTTCCTGGATCCATAATGTGACCAGTTCCTCTGCCTGGCCCTTCCACCATTCTGTTTCTGCAATGCAGCAGATTGAACAAGAGGACTGAACCCTCTTGAAAACTCTACCAGGATGAACCTGTACTCTTTTAAGCTGTGGGTCCTGTGTTCAGTGATGAAAAGTGACTAAGAAAGACATCCTCCATGCATTTTTCTTGACTGTCTTTATAGGACAGAATCTTTTGTCTTTTGCCATCTCACTCTGGTGTACAGAACAGTGCATGGCACAGAGAATACACCTAATAACTATTTGTTGAAGGAATAATTGAGTGTATGTATATGCAAATTAAAGCCCTCTGGTGCTGCTTGAGCCACTGGTTTGGTGGTGGCTGGACTTGCCCTTGTTTTGTGCCTTAGCGGCTGTATAAGGTTCACAAACTTCTTAAGCCCACAACCTCAGTTTTCTCATACATGAAACAGAAATACATACCTCATAAGACTTTTGTGAAGATTAGAAATGAGAAATGTAAGCCCATGTCCCTGGGCCTGAAAATAATAACTATTACTAAGCTGATTAATGAGGAAGATACCCAATAACTTAGAAGAAAAAAATTCTCCTATATGACTTTCAGGTAAAGTAACAAGCATCTCATTAGCTAGTGGCTGAGGCCAGCTCTCTCCTCTGCCCTCCAAAGAAGACAGGGCCCTAGGATTCTTTCACTGTGCATTTAGCTAGGCTCTCTGTCTATAGATAATTATCTTGAGTGGGTTGCTTAACCTCAATGTTTTGCTATACAGTGGAATAAGGTTGACCCAGTTGGCAGGAACATTGAGGCTCGATTATTAAATGACTGAAGTGCACTTTGCAACTACCAAGTGCTATAAATATATATGCTGAAGTAAACTTGTTTAACAAAAGACTTCAGCTGAATTTGCCTCCTGGGAACCCCAGGGCATCAGGCTGAGTGGCCTGGGCTAAAGAGGGATCTGTATCTCAGCAGCAAGAGGGAATAGAGCCATTGCTCCCTCTACCTTTGTCTTCTACCCCTCCTAGGTGGGCCCAAACCTCTGTTGAAGTGGGGAAGCAGGGCTTTAAACATTTATTATCTTGATATAGAGACCTGGGACAATGTTCAAAAGTGAAGGCACAGGGAAAGAAATCATCTCTCCACTCAATTATATGAATGTGGGTTTTAACCCAGAGCTCAAAGTCCTTCTAAATATTTGATTGCCTAGTATTATGATAACCATGCCATATAATTGATTCACATAATACATATTTACTAAACATTTTCTATGTGGCCAGATCAATCAGATCTTGGCCCTCTTCTCAGGCTGCTGAGAGGAAGGCAAGGGGAGGCAATTGACAGCAAGCAGAGGAGAAACAGAAGGGCTGTGAGGTGAATTGGCAGTGTGATGGGCAGGAGTGTTGCAGTGAGTGTGGGTCAGAGTGGAGGGGTCACATCAAGGAAAGAGCATTTGAGGAGGCCTGTCAGAGGAAGCCAGTCCTGCTAACAGAGACGTACAGATGCCAAGGCTCAGAGGTGACCATGGATATAAGGGTATCATTAAGCAAGTACTATGGAGTCTGAGGTATAGGAGGAAAGGGGAGAACTGGGAATGTTTCCTTATTGGGTCAGAGATGGCTTTTTCTGGGTAGCAGTTGAGCATGTTGACAAGATAGAAAATGTGGATCTGATGAGGAAGTGCATCCCAGAAAGAATGGACCAAGGATCAATCCTAAGATCCAAGGACTTTAGGTGGGTCACACAAAGGAATATGGTTATTAACAGTATAGAAACAGAGCAGGACTGTCATGGATGCCAGAGTAAGTCTTGTTTCCAAGGAGGGAGTTGGTGTATCAGTCAGTTTGGAAGGTTGGCTGAAATCAGGTCTGGAGATTAGCTTCTGAATAAGAGGCCAATGGGAACTCAGTAAGGTGAGCTCCACTGGAGTTAGGGCATGAGGAGCCCAGAAGGACCCAGAAGACAATGGCCAATTGGAGTGCTGAGTGGAGAGTCTGGTAGACTTCTTTTTTTGTCTTTTTCTTTTTTTACTTTTTTATTGGTACTGGGGATTGAACTCACAACCACACACTTGCAAAGCAGGCACTTATGCTGCTAACTTAATCCCCAGCCCCTAAGAGTCTGGTAGACTTTTAGTACAAGTGTTTGAATAAAGGGAACAGAGGAAATGGAGGGGTACAGGGTGACTGAAGCTGAAGCATGATCCCGGAGGGAGCGGCCTAGGATGGGGTAGGCACTTCATTCCTCCTAGCAGGGTCAAGGATGTGCAGAGTAGCTGCCAGATGCTGGCAGCCTATTGATTTGACAGGAACTTCGCAGACTGAAAATGCTTCCTCTAAGAAGGGCAAGGGCATCCCACCAAGGTGAGTAGTGCATAGGTCAGGGAGATGGGAAAGAAAATGACTGACATTTTTAAGTGATGAAGGCACACATGCAAGAATGCAGGTGGTCTGGCGCTCAGTGTAGGTACATCCAATACCTCAGGGGACACCACTGGCATGGGAGTGAGGTGTTCAATTCTTGAGAAAAAGGTTCTAGGCATCAGCAACGCCCCTACATTGTACTTCTATTAAGGGTATGATTGGCATGGGCTTATTTTGTTACAAAAAAAATGAGAGACTGTATTAGCCAGCTTGGGCTGCTATAACAAATTACAACAGTGGTGGTGGTGGGGCGGTGGTGATGGAATTTACACAACTAGAACTTACTGATTTATTGTTGGTACTGGAAATCAAACTCAGGATTTTGTGCTTGCCAGGTAGGCAGGCGCTGTGCCTCTGAGCTATATCCCTGGCCCTAACAAGAATTTATTTTATCAGTTGTGGAGAATGGGAGCTCAAGATCAAATCCAGCAGGCATTTGCTCCTGGTGAAGGGGATCTTGGCTTGTCAAGTGAGAGTTTTCTCCCTGTTTGCTAATGTGACTTTTTTGTGTGTCTGCAAATGGAGTAGTAAGAGCACTTGAAGTTTGTAGTGTCTGTTCTTAGAGGGACACTGATTCTTTTTGATCAGCTGTTACTCTTAGAATTTCATTTAACTTTAATTACTACTGGGTAAGCTTTATCTCCTCCAGTAGTGGTGAACCTATGCCATGTGTGCTGTAGTGGTCTATTTGAAAGCTCTAAAAGGTTTGCCACTGTGCTATGTAATACAGTCACAGTGAGGGTAAATTTGGGAGTGAGATATACAACTCAGTACACAGAAAACATCTACTGGATGAAACAGACACTTCAAGAGAATTTTAGTGGAATCAGGCTAAATAATCAGTAGAAGTAAGAACCCTGGATGTATTAGTACAAAGCAGGTGATGCCTTATTAGCTAGGGCCTACAGCCCAGATAGCCTATGGTTCACAGACCCCGCAGTCCACAGAGCCTACACTGATGTCCCCCAGACCCCACAGTGGAGTTTAGCAGAACAGAACCATCATATTTCTAGGCCACTGAGTACTGCCACGTACTCAACAGCTGAGGGCTGGCCTTCATGGAGCCCATTATGAGGGTGTAGGCTGGTAGGGGCTCTGCTTCTTTTCTCTGTAGACAACTCTCTATATCTGTTCCCACAAAAATCTAGAGTGATCTTGCCTAGTACAGAGGTCATGGGCCACATGGATACTGAGAATTAGAAATGTGGCCATAGTGTAGTATATTATAAGTATTAGTATAGTATACTGTAAGTATCAAGATATAGGATACTATAAGTATCAAGATACTCATTAACACTATTGCATACTAATTACACATGGAACATTTGTATTGACTGAGTTAATAAAATTTATTCCTAAAATTGCTTCTGGGTGATATTTGTTACTTTGAAAAGTGTAGCTATAAGAAAATTTAAATTACAATTGCAGTTCCTACTTTACCTCCCCAGCTCTGTCTTGAAGGGTGGATGCCTTTCACAGCCTCAGATATAACAGTCTACTCTGAACATGGGTCTCTCTTGCTTCCTCACTGCCACGGTCTGTCTCAGGCCCACTCTGTCCCATGGCCAAGGCCAAAGTGGCCCTATCTTGGAAGCATTTCTGGACTCCCATATCCATGCTGTTTTTCCTTCCAGCCCCTTTCGCTATGTAGGGGCTATGTAATTAAACCTCCCTAGGCCTGGCTGCTACCCCAGGTACTGGTCCTACTCAGTGCAGACCTAGAGGGCCGTCCTAAGGTGCAGCAGTGAGCAAGCAGCTGGCTGTGGAAGCATCAAAGCCGTTTCCTTTTACAGTGTTCTTGGCGCAACAGCCTTCTACTTCTTCTAAGTAAAGTCATGCATCAGGAACTGGGTGGAAGTGTTAGGAAGTTGCAAAATCACATACACTTGGTCTGCTGGGAGGGGTTGGAGAGCAGAACCCAGTCACGGGAGACGCAGTCACAGCAAATCGCACACTCTGGGGTCTGCAGAGGCTCACCCACCGAGACCCCGACCTCTTCTTTGCTCCACCGGCCCCATTCCCTCGAAGACCCTGACTGCGACAGGAGAACAGGGCCGCAACATCAGATGTGCCCGGCCGAGGGTCTCCCGGAGTCCCAGGGACCCAGTCAGAGCCGCAGAACTACCCAAACAGCCATAGCGCCCCGAGCGCGCAGCCCCTTTAAAAGGTTCCGTCGGAGCTGGACTGTGACGTAATAGAGGTGCGAAGGGCGGAGTCTGTGCGCAGCTCCAGCGTGGGGGGCGGGGCAGGGAGGCTCGGCCATCCTGACGAGCGCAGCAGAGGAGCAGTTACCGGTCCACTCGGCTCAGGCCCCGCCCCATCCCCACCCCCAAATATCCCGCCCCACCAACAGACCCCGCCCGGCTCACAGGCCTCCTCAGGCCCCGCCCCATCCTGAGGCCGCAAGCCCATTGAGGCGCCGCTGCAGACCCTAGGTCACGCCGCGCTCCAGAGACCTAACTCAGAAATGGTTTCTCTCCAACAGGCCCCGCCCTACCCCTTAGGGTCTCTCCTTTCTGCGCCCCGCGCAGGCCTCGCCCCGCCCCGCGTAGGCTCCTCCCCCAGGGGGCGGGACTCAACTGAGCCCGAGTCTGCCGTGGCGGCTGTGGGAACTTTCCCGGCGGGTCTAATGGCTGCGCGCGGGCCCCTGTGAGTCGCGGCGGCGAGCGGGCGCGGGGCCGCGGAGCAGCTAGGACCCACGAGTGCAAGGCCAGAGTCCCGGCCAGGCCCGGCCTGACCCGCCGAGCCCGCAATGCGCCCCGGGGCCGACCCCCGGCGGAGCTGACGCCCCGCAGCCCCGCGAGACCCCGGCCCGGCAGACCCTGCAGAAAGCGGCCGCCACCGCCCAGCCCAGCGCTCGCGCCTCCCGGCACGATGACGGGAAAGGCAGCCGCCCCGGGAACCGCGGTGTTGCTAGTCACAGCCAACGTGGGCTCGCTCTTCGACGACGTAAGTGCCGCGCCGTCTGCCAGGGAGGAGCGGCATTCCCGGCCAGGAATCCCCCTGACCCTGGCCCTGACATTCCCCCACCCCTGCCAGGGACACTGGACCAGGAAAGCCCCGGACCTGGTCCAGACCCCCAAGCCGAGGATTCAGGCCAGGAAACCTCTTGACCTAGGACCCGGTGCCAGACCCCTGAGCTTGGGACCTCTTCTCTGATCCCTGAGGCCAAATCTTTAAGATCCAACTCCTGAATCCTTATCTTAACCCAGATTCTACCAACCCAGTATGGCCATCATATCTCCAACCCAGCCCAAGCCTTGGTTCCTGAATCCTGATGCTGCTGGTACGTGGCTCTGAATTCTTGATCCTCAGAATACTGGTCCTAGCGTCACTGGCCTGAACTTCAGAGCCTCAAACCTCTGTGGCTTATCCCCAAGCCCTGGGCCCCAACTCTGAAGCCTCACCACAGTTACTGACCCTGAAGCTTCCTACTCTGAATTTTAGCCCCCAAACCCTGACCTCTGGTTCCCAAACCTTGAATTCTGACTCTAAAACACTGGCTTTCCAATGTTGACCTCTTGCTCCCAACCTTATCCAGCCTGATCCTGAATCTCTATCTCCTCCAGATCCCAACTTCTGGTCCCAAACCCTCTCCTGGTCCTCTCAACGTGGAGCCCTGACCTAGGCTAATTGCTTCCTTGCTCCCATCTCTGAATTGTTCCTCTCATACTCTCACCCTTGAATCCTTAATCTTGGCCCCAAGTCTGGTCCTTGAATCCTGGTCCCCGCAAGCCCAGACGCTGACATCTGTCTGCTGTCCCCTGTCTTGCTGGATACCTGGGGTCTAGTAGTACTCATCTGGCCTTATAACTTATGATTTTATGTCTCAAGTGAGAGGAATCTATTGAAAACCCTGGAGTGCTTTATATTCCTTGTTTATTAAGGAAAAAGATGCTGAGGCCTTGGAGGCCTGAAAAGTGATGCTGGCTGCGTAAGGCCTTTACTTTCCAGGGCTGCCCCCACCCAGGAACCTCTGACCCTCTCCTGTGGGAGGCAGAAGGGAACTGAGGCCCAGGGCACACTGGGAGTTCCCTAGAACAGGCCTAGGCTGACCTAGTTCAGTGTGCAGCCATGGTGCCACCCTGTTGTTGGTACTTAAACTGCCAACCCAAATAAAGCAGAAAGCGGCTCCAAGTGGCATGCTTGTTTAAAAAGAAAGGGTAATGTCACAGATGGAGCCAGGTACTTCCCTCCTTCCTTTCCTTAGGTGAACAGTTGGGGCAGTGCCAGGGTTGGGAGTTCTGTGCTGTGAATACAATCCTGATTTAGATTTTAAGGAAGGTTCTTGTTTCTTTGCTGGCAGCAAGCATGATGAAGAGTTTCATTAAGCTGACTTCATGGATAGGCAAGGCTTACTTTGTATTAATAAAAAGCAGGCCTTATTTTTGTGTTTTGTTATTTGATTCTCAAGTACCTATGTGTTATATTCACTTGCTGGAGATATACTGCCTCCCCTTGGACTATAGTTTCACGTGTGATCGTTCTCTGCAAAAGAGTCTGTATGGGTGTGCGCCTGTATATTTAGTATTCTATTCTAGGCTTTCCAGTAACATGTCACTATAACATGGTTTTGTTCAGATGATTCAGATTGGTTAGCTGTGGCTTCTAAACTTCAGAAATGTCAGGAAAATTAAGCTGGTGGGGCATTGTAGGCTCAAAGGGAAAAATTTTTGGTGTGCTGATATTCTTTCTACCAATATTTGACCCTAAATTTTTGTTTTCTAACAATATATACATATTTTTTTTCTGTTGGTATTAAAATGGGTAATTTACCTCACTTTCATTTAGTGACATGTTCTGTCTGAATTTTTATTTTTCTTAAAGCCTGTATGGAATTTTACATTATACTTGCATCTAGTAGGAGCGTTTGTTTTGGTAGACGTACATAGGTTAGTTCTGCAGGATGACTTGGAATACAATGCTAGATGAAACAGTACCTATGTTTCCTAACATGTAGCTGTGTTCACAGGAGTGGGCTGTCCCCCACTGGCCTTGTGAAGTGGACCTTCACTCACATTCTAGGACATTTTTCATGTTTTGGAGTTTAAGTTATGGTATTTGTGGAGAAGAAACCTGATCTGTGAAAGTGGTGAATTCCTGAACAAAAGAAACTTTAACTCTTTGGTTTATACTAGATTTTGGAAAATCTGCTCATGGTTCTGTTTGCCTTTGCTCAGCATGTACCTATGCTGACAAGCACCCCTCTGATGGTGTTCAGGTCTATGAAGGAGTTCTTTATTGTCGGCAACAAACTCTGCTCTGTGCCTAGTGTGGTCATCACTTCCTAGGGAGTCTGCTTCAGAGGAAGAAGGTATCTAATTTGTATCTGAAATAGGCATAACAATTAGGAAAGATGCAATCCTTTTAGGAACAAGGGATAGGTGATTTGTTTTTACTTTTGCAGTTTTGCAGTTTTGCAGTTCTACCCAGAGGCAGCCCCTCTTAAAATACTGTAGATAAATTTTAAAATACTGTATATAAAAAGTTTTTTTTTGGTGCTGGTGACTGCGTGCTGAGCACATGCTCTACCACTGTGCTCCATCCCCAACCCGTGTATGGACATTTTAATCACGGTTTTGTACTTAACACCCTGGGATCTCTGGAACATCTTGTTCAACCTACTCTCTTCTCATCAGCACTCCTGGCATCCTGGTGCCCTGTAAGATGGCTGGACTGCAGTTACTGAGCTGCTTTTGCTGAAAACCTTTAAGTTGCAATATTACCATAAATACCTTAAAAGATTTGCCTTCAAACTTTATCCCTGTTTTTGTAAAAATTATGTTTTCATGATTTTAATTACAAATCCCAAGAATTCTTGTTTATGTAATTATAAGTATTGATACTGTCTGTATTAAAGACTGAGAAAATGTTAAGCACAAGAGGATGTAGCACATGCTGCAGTGGCTGGCAAAGTGATGGGTCATTGCATTCCATGTGCCCCTGGAAGCTCACTGTCCCTTGTGGAAAATGAGGAGAAGGATTTAGTGTTGTAAAGTAGTTTGGCCCAGTCACCATCTGAAGAGGTTTCCCTGGCTCACACTCTTGAGTACCTTTGACCTACCCTTTATGCAGGTGGCCTGGGATGTCTGTGGCGTTTCCATCTTTCTGGTAGTGACTGTAAAAATGCCTTCTAAGTCCCAAATTGGACTCCTGCAATTACTATCCTCTTGCCTGGGAAGGGGTGGCCATGGGCATATATCTGAATTTTGGTGGATAGGGCTAATTTTTTGACTTTTGAGGTTTCCAGATGTTGGCTCCATTAATCTTTACTAGAAGTAAACTGAGAAGATGAATGCTTTCAGGCTGTGCTTTGGATCTCAGACCCACCCTTACATGATCAGGCTGTTTTGGCCCTTGCTCATTTGGTCTCATTGCTTATTCTGAACAAGAAGTCATTTTCGCATAATTGGCTCCTGAGCTGCTTCTCTCCAGATACCGGATTGCAGAACTGTTGAGAGTGGGGTCCACATGTGATCATTAGCAGGAACTGAAGATCTCCGATCAGTAGGTGTTCATGAGCTGTGGGATGGAGAGAGACAAGTTAGAGCTGCTGTGGTGTGGGGACCTCTTCCCATGTCCTTCTCTCTAACTGCGATATCAGTGTTATTCTTTTTGCCTGCTTTTTCCATCAGTGATAACAGTTTCTCTCTTTTGAAATCTTTGAGTCTCCTGTCCTGATGCTAATGAGGGCAGCTAACTGTGCTCCCCCTCATAGCCTCATGAAGGGAAGTCTCTTCCCAGGCTGTTCCTCAGCATTCTTCTCCTGTGGTAGTCAGTTTGCTGCAGTTAGTTCCTACTTGGTCTTTTATTGGTTTATTTGGTTTTCTGGTGGTACTGGGGTCTGAATCCCAGGGCTTTGCATTAAGCCCTTTTTCATTGTATTTTGTTTTATTTTTTATTTTGAAGAGGGTATCACAAAGTCACTAAATTGCGTAGGCTGGAATTGAACTTCTGATTCTGCTGCCTGAACCTCCCAAAGTGCTGAAATAATAGGGATGTGTTGCCATGCCTGACTCTCACCATTTTTCTTCTTCTTCTTCTTTTTTTTTTTCTGGCAGACTCTGAGGCCATGGGTCTTTCTTGTTAAAGAACTTTTTGTTTGGTAATGGATTTCCTGAGGTAGACTTCACATGCCATACATACAGTTTACCCATTTAAACTGTACAGTTCATTGTTGTTGATATATTCACAGGGTTGTATGAATTTTACCACAGTCAATTCTGGAACATTTATATATGTCACCTTAAAAAGAAGCCTTATGCATTAGTGATAACCCTTATCTCCAGAACCATGACCCCTGCCCACTACCAGCCTCCTTTATTCTATAGATTTGCCTATTCTGGTCATATTCATATAGATGTCTTT